GATTGCCCAACCTTCCTTCTGAGGAGTGGCTAGTGGGTTTGAACCGCCAGCCTTCTGGTTAGCAGGCAAGTGCCTTAGGCACTATGCTATTTGTAACATATCTATATAAATAGATGTGTATAAAAACAAAGGCAGAATGATACTGGCATATTATTTTGTAATCTGCTTCTCTGACTTAACAATGTGGATCACTTTTCATTTCAACACTTACAGATCTGCCTCATTCTTTTAAAAGGCACTGAATGCATAAGTCATAATTTATCTATTAATGAACATGTGTTTTTTCTCAATTTGCTTATATTATAAACAACACTCTAATGAATAATCCTAGATCTATAACTTTGCTGGTATGTAGTGTCATTTTTAAAAATATAATTTGTTGTTGTTGAGAATATATGCAGCAAAACATACACTAATTCAACAATTTCTACATGTATCATTTAGTGGCATTGAGAGTTGTGCAACAATTCTCACCCTTCTTTTCTGAATTGTTCCTCCCTATAAACAAACTCACTGCCCCCTAAGGTTCCTATTTAATCTTCTGTGTTGTTGTTGTCCATTTGATCCCATATAGATCTCAAAAGAGCATAATGCTCATGGCAGACATCTTTTACTAGTTAAACTTTTGATTTTAAGAAAACTAAAAGGGATATTTTTGGTTTAAGGTTTAAGGATTATCTCAGGGCAATAGTTTCAGGGGTTCATCCAGCCTCCATGTCTCCAGAAAGTCTGGACTCCATGAGAATTTGAATTCTGTTCTGAATTTTCCCCCTTTTGATCAGAATTCTGATATGGAATCTTTGATCAAAATATTCAATAACAATAGCAAAGTACCACCCAGCTCTTCTGCTCTCATGACAAAAGAGGCATTTGTTCATAGAGGCAATTAGCCACACATTCTATTTCCTCTGTTCCTGACTCCTCCGTCTCTTATTCCAGGCCAATAGAGACCAATTGTTGGGCCTTGAATGGCTGCTTGCAAGCTTTTAAGACCCCAGGCACGACACAATGAACTAGGAAGGAGAACAGAAATACTAAACTGTTATTAGGCCAGTTAACTGGGATGTCCCAGGAAACCATGACCCTAAACCTCCAAACCAAGGAACCAAACTCCATGAGGTTTTTGATTAAACATAAGCAGCCTCAGCAGCTTTTATTTATTTATTTATTAAATAAGATTCTCAGAGTGGAATTTTAGAATCAAATAGTGGGAAATTTTTTTTTTAATAAATATGCCCTTTTTTTTTTTTTTAATGCATCAGGTATAACTAGGATGTTAATTGTACTTATTTTCCTCTACCCATCCTCATAATACTGTATTCCTTAAAAAAAAGTTTTGACATTTTAATGTGCAGATGAGTATTTTTATTTTAAATGCATTTATCTGTGAGGTTGGGCATTTTTCATGTATTTAGAAAATTATTGTATTTCTCCTGTTATTTGATATTTATGACCATTGCCTATCTTGCTGTTTGTTCATATCTTTAAATAATTTGTAATGAGTATAATATACCTCAAAGAATACTGGAATATTTGCTCTTTGTCTTCTACTGAAAGTAATATTCTTCCCTAATTCCCTGATTGTCTGTAATTTTATTTTTCATGACACTTGCTGTTGGGCAACTTACTTCCGTAGAGATACCACCTCAGAAACCCAAGGAGGTGTCGCTCTGAGTCGGAAATGACTTGACGGCAGTGAGTTGGGTTTGGTTTTGTGTTGTACAAAGGCAAATTATTTTCATCTTTAAAAAAGAAAAAGAAGTAAAGCTACAATTTTTAATTTAAATATTTCATCTAACTGCACTTAAAAAAAAGTGATCCAGTTATATTCCTTAATAAATTTTAATTTTCAAAATTGCTAGCCACTCATTCCAGCACCATTTGTTGAATAATTTACTTCTCCCCACTGATTTGAAATGTTACTATCATCATCCTTAAGACTTGGGTTTATTTCTGCACTATTTCATTTCATGGTTAGCCATCAAATGCCTTAGGCACTGTGCCACCAGAGCTCCTATTTCATTTCATTGACCTATCCCTTTGCCAACAAAAACTTTTCATTTTGCATAGCAAAACTGCCCTCTTCACAACATGGGTCTTTCTGTCCAAGAACATGATGAGTTTATTGTACAGGTCCTACATATTTCTTATTCCTAGATTTTATGTTTTCTATAGGTATTAGCTCTGGTAGCGTACTGCTTAAGGCACTTGACTGCTAACCAGAAGGCTGGCGGTTCAAACCCACCAGCCATTCCTCGGAAGGAAGATTGGGCAATCTATTTCCGTAGTGATACTGCCTCGGAAACCCAAGGAGGGGTTGCTATGAGTCGGGTCCAACTCGACGGCATGTAACAACAAAAGAACATAGGTATTAGGAACGGCTCTTTTCTTCCATAATATGTCTTAAATAGTAAGTCTGGTGAGTGTTTCCTACTTATTTTTATTATTAAGAAAATAAAATGTAAAATAAAACATTTTATCCTATTTTGTGATTTTATTGCCTGTTTGTGTGTGTGTTTCTTTTTCCTGTTTCCGATACGAATTGTTTGCTTTGAGGGTTTGTTTATTTTCTTCCCCAGCTTTGGTGGTAGACTGTTTAAGAGATGAATAGATCTACTAAACCAAAAAAACCAAACTCACTGCCATCGAGTTGGATCTAGTTCATAGCGACCCCTCCTTGGGTTTCCAAGGCGGTATCACTACGGAAGTAGATTGCCAAACCTTCCTTCTGAAGAGTGGCTGATTAGCAGTCAAATGCCTTAGGCACTACGCCACCAGAGCTCCTACAGTGGTTGCTGTTTTACCTCTAATTAATATGATGAAACTTCTATTGTTTCCATTTATCAACCAAATAAAGTAAACTAGGTTTATTA